CTAGAGTAATAGGGAGTGCTGTCATAAACGTAGTCTAGAGTAATAGGGAGTGCTGTCATAAACGTAGTCTAGAGTAATAGGAAGTGCTGTCATAACCGTAGTTTATAGTGGTATGGAGGGCTGTCATAACCGTAGTTTATAGTGATAGGAAATGCTGTCATAGCCGTAGTTTAGAGTGGAGTGGAGGGCTGTCATACCCGTAGTTTATAGTGGTATGGAGGGCTGTCATAACCGTAGTCTAGAGTAATAGGGAGTGCTGTCATAACCGTAGTTTATAGTGATAGGAAATGCTGTCATAGCCGTAGCTTAGAGTGGAGTGGAGGGCTGTCATAACCGTAGTTTAGAGTGGAATGGAGGGCTGTCATATCCGTAGTTTAGAGTGGAATGGAGGGCTGTCATACCCGTAGTTTATAGTGGTATGGAGGGCTGTCATAACCGTAGTTTATAGTGATAGGAAATGCTGTCATAGCCGTAGTTTAGAGTGATAAGAAGTGGTGTGAAACAAATACAGCTAAAGCGCATAATCAAGCTCTACGAAAATGAAACTTGCTTAAACTTTTGTAAAACACCGAATAAAAATATAAACTTTGATTCCCAGGAAGGTTGTTTGACCGAATCCATAAATAGTTATATTATCTTTGACACATCATTTGCAGTATACTAAAATTAACTATTAAATATTTTTATTTTGAACATTTGTATACAAAACAAACAAAACAAATTAAGATCATTTTGGAATGAAATTAAACAATATAACATTATTTTGTGTGACGTTACCTCATATTAAGATTAATAATTAAATTAAAAAATCTTCATTATTATCAGTGTAATTGTAATGTAATGTTACACATAACACCGATCTATAAATCACGCTTTGCCGGCATAAGGTATTATGTAGTGTGCTAATTGATATCTTATAAAAATCAATGTTAAATCCAACAATATCAGTTGTACAAGGATCACTGACTGAAATTACATTATCCACAGGCCACAGAAGTTACTCGTAATATCCTGACGTAAAATTATCCTGAAGAAGCTGTGTAGAAGCCTCCATTGGTTAACATGTGATTTGATATTCACGTTCCTTCTGATTGGTCAACTAGCTAATCTCATCAGAATTATAACCGTAGAGAACTTATACAAAGTATTTTTCTTCTCCTATGAAGTGATGCATCGCTATTGAACCTGACGCTTAATTACTTGTTTCCACTCAAGCGGGCGCTTGCAGTTCTTTGACGAGGGGGGATAAGTGTATAAGTTTTAAGGAATTTTTTTATTAAAAAAATCTTCGAAACTCCACATTTCACAAGTGAGGTACACCAAATGTTAATCACAGTTTCCTAGTTACCAATGGACACTCTCCAATACACGGTAAAACGTTTTTGTATAGTTAAAGAAAAGTTAAACCTTTATAGGATTACTTTTTTAAAAAATTCTGGTTTAAACAAAGTCGTTTTTTTTCGTATGTTTCACTAGAATATTTCTTAATTTACGGCAAGAAAATTGAGCTTCATTTTTCCAAGGAATCCACAGTTTTCCGAGTTTATGCTGTGAATTTTCATCTTAAAGCAGCATGATGATGAAGGCAAGACAATAACAACCAAAAAACAAACAAACCAAAAGCGAGCCAAGAAAACAAAGATTATGATATATAAGAGCACTAACAACACGAATAACAAAAACGTTAGCAAACATCATAAAGCATAATGCAGTTACACATATTGTACTCGCCAAAAGTAAGGCAGTACTGAAGTTATTATGCTACACTGTGTGTGTGTGAGGGGATATATACAAAGTCTGAAAAGTTCCACCAGGACAATATAATAAAAGCATAGAAATTAGTACACTGGATGTAATGCGGGGGTGGGGGGACAGATACGAACCATGGTACAAGTAAAAAATTACATTTTACATCGATATGTATTAAATAATTTATATTTGAAGAACGTACCTAGTTGTAAATCGACATTTCCTGTTATATACTTTTCATTTCCAACAGAAATTTCTACTATTATATTTCTTAATTTCAAGAATTAAGTAGGATTTCACAATAAAAACTATATTAATGCGTCTCTAAAATACACAAAGTATAATATCTAATATGTCTGAGTTTGTTTTTAGAGCAAAGCCACATTAGGCTATCTGCTGTGTCCATTGCATGGAATCGAACCCCGGATTTAAGCATTGTAAGTCCGTGAACTTATCGCAGTTTCACCGGGGGACGGGGACGTATGAGAACAAAGAGAGAAACTAAGGGTCTTTTACAGAATGAGCTTTTCTCATATTATTCTAGAACTCCTGCTTTCTTTCCAAATTCAGAACCTAACTGTATTTATCCACTTTCTCTCCAGTGTTCAGTACTTCGTTTTCCTCAATCATTTTTTTTTCTATTGACTCTTTGCTTCTTTTGATAGCAATTATAAAATTCAAGAACAATAGCGACGTATATTTCTTGTTTTTCTATTTTCTGCGTTATCTTCCTTACTCAGTCTCTTTTGTTTCTAATATTTTATCTTTATTTTTTTATTATTTCGGTAGAGCATCTCCTGCGGGTCTACAATGCGAAGACGAACTCAACATTTAAGGTCCATGATTGCTTAGAGGATCTGTCAAAAATATGTTGTCGCTAAAGCTTTGATGAAGTATAATCAACAGCTTAGTAGAGAAGAAATCAAAATTGTATACCGGCTTTCTTGAAACAAATGTATATCTCTATTTGTATTGTGTATTAGGAATTATGAAAAAACTTTCAAACTAATAATAGAATTTTAATAAATAGTAAAACTGGACAAAGTATTAGATGCAGTTTAAGCCTATTATGTCAGAACGGATAGAGAGAGTACTTTTATCTCCAACTCTAAAGCATGAGCACTTCGAACTTTTTTAACCAGCTGTTGAAAGCCATTCATATTTTACTTCGCTTAATAAAATGTAAAATAAAAAAAGAAAAAGCCACGTAAAGAAGTTAAATTATAAGGACATTTACTTTAAAAGACCTATGTTGTTTTGAGGCTGAGATAAAATCTTTAGTAATCTTTCATGTGAATTTGTGGACTTTTTAGTAAAACGTCAATGATGAAATGTTTTTTTTTTCAGTCCAGTTAAAAAAAAACTTATTAAACCAGTTGCTATTTGCCCTAGGTTTTTATAATATCATTAAGAAACACAATCTTGATTACCTGTAATGAATATCATTGACTTTTTTTTTAAATTTTAGTTGTAAAAGTTACTTGCCAGTGTCAAATTTCATAATTACTTATGCAATGTTTCTTAAATATAGGTTCAATATAAAAATGATTTTGCAATTTATTTTTCAGAATACTTTTGAAATGATATAAAATAATGGACCCAAAAAAATCGATTCTGTTTTGTTTGTTGGGTCTTTTTATTTAGAAAAATGTCTAACTTATGAACAAATGACTTTTTTTTATCACTCTTGTTTTCTGATTTCTTCGTGATTCATGGTTTTGTTACGAGGTATAAGAAGTTGTATTTTTATTAAGTGACAATAGCTCAAGACCCTAAAGGACCACTATTCGTCGTTGAACCTCCTTCAAAAGTTATATTTTATAATAACACTGAAGCTGTCATTCCGTGCTCTGCCACCGGAAGTCCTAATCCTGTTATTAGCTGGATTGATGAACGTGGAGATGAAATTCAAGATATACTCCATTTACGTCACATCAAACAAGATGGCTCCTTAGTTTTCCCGCCATTTTCGGCTAGCGAATATCGTCAAGACATACATATGGCTGTTTTTACGTGTGTAGCTTCGAACATCGTTGGTAGTATCAGAAGCCAAGACGTGCAAGTGAGAGCAGGTAAAGAAATTAGAAAGAGTCTTCATAATTACTTGTTTAACTTAATCGTATCTGTTTATATCATGATGAAATGCTTGTTTTACTTTATACAAGCACAACTTTAACCTTTTATTTTAACTAGAAAATATCTGGTAAACTACAAAGCGTTAGATATGTATTACTTTTGTTTAAATTATAAATGGGTTCATATGTATTTCAAGATACATTTAGAATCGTACAGAACTTTCAACTGATGAGAAACTATGTGGAGGTATTCATTAATTATATTGTTATTGTTTTGAATGTGTTCATAACGTGGAAAACATATCTCGTTCTAAGCACAGATTTTTCTGTAAAAAGGCTGGATTATTAATAAGTATAATGCCATTGCAGATACACTGAACAAAAACTACATGAAAGAACAACAACTCGCGGTAACAACATCAGGAAGATATTCATTTCTTGTGCTAGAAAATTGTCTCGTTAACTCACGTGCGCAGTACGCCCACTCATTTCAAATTTGTATCAAAGAGACATAAAAAAGTAAATGCCGAAATGCTACTAACTAACAAAATAAACACATTTTCAGAAGTTAGATTAATGAAGTGATTTATATGAAAAAAATATATAGAAAATAGACAAAGGAATAATACTTGAAGCACGTTTTATTGTTGTTCATTGTAATAGGTTCTCATAACTAAACAATAATTGTAGCGTGTTCGATAGAACTTTCTGAAAACATTCCCTAGGTAAGAAATAATCAGGAAAAATAATTGTTCTCTTATTTACCTATCCGACGTTTTTAGAAAAGTATTACTGTCGAGTAGTGAAATCTCGAGATGTACGTTGTTTATTAATACGGTATGTGTATGTGTATATTCGTAGCTAATCGACACAGCTTCACAGTTTGCTACCTTGTCAGTTTCTAGAATTTGCACTAACTTCATTCTCTTGAAGCTCTAACAAGAAGTTGCTGTTTACAGAAGGTTTTCCCTTTATTTGATTCCTGGAGCCTATGTATGCTAATCACCGAGCGCCTGCGAGGTTGATCATCCTTAATGCTGTTCTATGTTTAGCTTCCTAACTGTTCTTATTTCAGAGCAACGAATAATCGAAAAATAATATAATTTGTTATGTATATTTGCTGATACTACTTGTCGATACTTTTCAATTGACACAATTATATTTCTGTATCAGTCAAGTTTTGCTGGCTTATAAAGTGAATATTTGTTTAAGAATTCTGTCGAAGAAAAGCTTATACATTTATAGGACAAATCATAGATGTTGTTGCTAATATTACAAGTTTTCATCTATATACATACAGAATTAAGGCATTTCTAACAAAATCATAAGTTTGACGTAAGACTTGTTTCCGATTCAGTTTTTTATAATAAAATCAATAACTTGTAAACTGTTGCAAAATAGTTTCTGATTTTGTGTTCTATATTAAAATCAATAACTTGCAAACTGGTGTGAAATAGTTTCCGATTTTGTGTTCTATATTAAAATCAATAACTTGCAAACTGGAGTGAAATAATTTCTGATTTTGTGTTATATATTAAAATCAATAACTTGCAAACTGGTGTGAAATAATTTCTGATGTTGTGTTCTATATTAAAATCAATAACTTGCAAACTGGTGTGAAATAGTTTCCGATTTTGTGTTCTATATTAAAATCAATAACTTGCAAACTGGTGTGAAATAGTTTCCGATTTTGTGTTCTATATTAAAATCAATAACTTGCAAACTCGTGTAAAATAGTTTCTGATTTTGTGTTCTATATTAAAATCAATACCATTTAAATTGGCGTAAGATAGTTCTGATTTAGTTTTTTATATTAAAATCAAAAGCATAAAAATGCTGAGTTAATGTTCGGAAGGTAAGTTTCAGTAAAACGTTTGTTAAAACGACATTAATTCATTGCTCTACATTTGTTCATTGCTCCTGTATCTCCAGCAATTACATTCACATAATGAACTATTCTTTAGACTATAAAAGAAAAGAATAGTCGACATATGAAGTAATAATCTCATGTGTGCTTAGGATTTAACTAAAAAAGCACCTGTAACCCATATTGTAGGCATAGCTCATCTACTTTAGTTGATCAAGTTCAAACCTTACAGAATGCAATTTATTGGTCAACTACCATTTAGAAGTGATTTGTCCATAAAATAGACCGATATATGTGTTTAGGTGAACGCGGCTGTTAAACTTTACAGTAGTACCTCATTCAGTGATGTATCCACGTTTATTGTCCTCTCGTATACTGACATGTGTCTGGCAACTTTTAAGCTGAAATTTTGGCAGGAATGGTCATCCTAAACCGCAGCTATGCGTGGCTTTATGTTTGATGTGTGTAGGTGTGCGCGTGAGGTATAATGGGACAGAAGTCACTGTTGATACATAAAAACGTTCCAGCCATGAGTATGAAGTGAGTTTTAATGTCAGTAATTTTGTATGGCTTGTTTTATACGTTCTGTGCCTCAAGATCAAACATATTTCTGAATCAATCTTATAATGCATCGCTAAGAGTTCTGCATTGATAAGGATCTTTTTATTGAATTTTCTTATAACTCTGAATCAGTATTATATAGTTACACAGTATCATATAATATAGAATTTTCTTTCAATAATATTACGTTCTTAGCTACGGTATGTGTAGATGAACGGAATTAAAGATGGTTGACTAGATGGATTTATATGTTACGGAAATAAGGAAAAATGTGGAACTACTCTGTGAGCACAGAATATGTCTTTCATATTTTGGAAACACAGAAATCTATCTTATATTAATAACAGAGTACAACACCCATCCCTCGTGAGAATCTAAACACAGACGTTCTGCACTCTCTTCCTTGCGTGTTACAAATGTCTTTAAAAACACACGAATATACCGAAATATGTTTATGGACTTCTCCATACAACCTATTTTCCTAGAATTTGTTTTTTCCAGTAATTGAATTCTTATCATGAGCAAGTTTTGCATGAAACAAGCGACATTTTCTCCTCCAATGAATATGTAAAGAAGCAAACTGACCCCTGATCTTTGTCTTTCTGGTTGCAAATCGATTTAGCAACAGCTGTGTTTAAAATATATATATCTGTATAATGTGCATATGATATTTCATACTTAGTATCTACGTCTGGATATTCATGTGCAAAGAAAAGTATAAAATAAAAGTTCTCGCGTAAGAAAAACTGGAGATTTGTGCGGAAAAAAGAAAACTTTATTATACATTAACTGTTGAAAAAATACACAAAAGAGAATAACAATATCCAACGAAACAATTGTGTTTCTTCCTATTCTTATACTTATGCATATGTAGGTAATTAAGTATATATATATATATATATATACATATATATTCTTTGTTTGTAGTTAAGCGTAAAGCTATATAATGGACTATCTTTTCTGTGTGGCCACGAATCGAAGCCCGAATTTTAGCGTGGACGTGTTGCTGGATGTATATATCTTACAACAGCTTACAAATTAGCCTATAATGTTTTACTTACAATTTTAAAAGTAGTGGTATCGCCGAATACAGTGGATTAATTCTTGGCCCTAAGTTTACTCTCCCAAGATCGTAATTTCTCCTCATCATAAAAAAAAAACCAACTCTGCGGTGATTTATTGTTCATACATTTATATGTTCTTCTTTTGAGTGAAATATGTAGGCTTCAATACTAGGTGGCTCTTAACCACTATAAAAGTGTACTTTCCTGGAAAAATCCAGAATCCGTCAAATATTGCACATCACATTTTGAACTGTAACACAACTATTAGGAGTGAGAATTTGACCGTAGTGGGTCGAGGAGCAGGAGAGTTTGATAATTGTAAATTGAGGAGCAGGAGAGTTTGATAATTGTAAATTGAAGAGCAGGAGAGTTTGATAATTGTAAATTGAAGAGCAGGAGAGTTTGATAATTGTAAATTGAGGAGCAGGAGAGTTTGATAATTGCAAATCTGACGTCAAGTATAAATCAACAGAATTCAGTGTGATGATTATAACAAAAGTAAAAATTTCTAGAGCTAGTACACATCTCTCCCGCAAAACAGTAATGGACGACATGATTAGGCACCGTGTGAAAAACGTAAAACATTCCATTAATTTTAATGTGTAAATTTGTGGTGATATTCACACCCAATGTTGCTGTTATGACTCTACATTGAAATTCCAAAAACATCATCATTCATTGATTTATTTGCTTTATGCAGACTAACGGACGGACGGATAGATAGACAGACAGACAGACATACAGATAACTTGGTCGTTTATAAGACGAGTATCACGCTGAATAAATACACAATTTAGCTTTGGAAATTAATCTGCCCTCCCCCAGTGGCACAGCGCTAAGTCTGTGGACTTAAAAAACTAGAAACCGGGTTTCGATACCCGTGGTGGGCACAGCACAGATAGCCCATTGTGTAGCTTTGTGATTGACTGCAAACAAATTAATCTGATATTAACTTGCTCGATATCACTTTAACTTCCTGTTTTGTTAATACTAACATTTTGCACGGTGGATACTGAACACCCCTGTACATTACAAACATCAAAACTGATAAAGTGTTTTATTAATTTCTTATTTAGTAAATAACTTTATATTTGTTTAGAAAATTATAGCGTTCGCACTATAGTTTCACCTGCGTGTTTGTTCGCTTACCTTACAGCTATACTGTGGTTCAAAACGCCTAGTTTGACCTAGCTGCCACAAGTCACTGACCAGGAAGTCTTTCTTTCGTTTCTTACTTTTTTTTTCAGCCACATATCACTATCCACGCAAAAGATAGTTCTAAAATTCTATTCTTACAGTTCTCTGATTTGAAACCCAGAGCATATTAATTAAGAGTATTGGGATAAAAAACAACATCTAAAGTCTAATGCGATTTTCTCACATTTGTTACGTTTAGTGCTATGCATGTCTCAACCACTGCTATATTTATCGTATTCCAACTGGTCTGAAGAGTCCTGATATTGGGCGAAAAGCCTCGTCGGCACTGGATATAACAGATATAGGGT